ATGTTACCAATACATCAAGTTATGTTATATGTACAAAGTTTGTTTACAAAGTAATATCTACACCAATTATTTCAAAAACAGATTTTAAATCATTAAAAATCAATAGCTGCATTTTGCTAACACTTATTTTGTCAACTAAATTTGTAAACACATTTTGTACAACTAACATAATACCCAATACCTTCAACTGTCATAGAGTAAAGGAGTTTAGGGTCTAAACGTGTCAAGGTCATGAACGGACACGTATCATTATGCACTGGGAGTCATATTGGTTAAAGAGAAAAAAAAATGAAAAATTAATTTGGTCTTCTTCCCTATATTTTATTTAAGGAAGTTATTATGAGGAATCGTACCAATCAACTCATTATGATTTGAGTGTGTATGGTAAGGATGGCAAAACATTTGGCTACGTCCGACTACTTATATGAATGAAATAGGATTTTACTTAGGATGAATATTTTAATCAGAATCGACTTTTTATAATTGAAATTGCAGTTTTAATTGGAGTTTCAAGTCCGTTTTAAAAATATAAGGAATCAAGTTTCGGCTTATCGAGGGCAATTCTTGGTTTGGGAATATAATCGTGGATACCCGACTCGAAAATCGAATTTGTTAGTTTTATAATTTATTCACTTTGACCACATGACTTGATCCAACGATTAACAAGTTTGCATAGCCCTAACAATGAATATCATGATCATTTAGATTCGATAATTTGAGTAATTAAATCATACAATTCTCGTTTGTAACCATTTCGGACCGTAATTTGCATGTCTGTCCAAGAAATAAACTAGAAAAAAAAAAAAAAAAAAAAAACCTTTTTGAGTTGTAGCACACTGAGCCATAATCGAAATTGGATGATATTTACAAGATATTTGATGCTATTTGATAACATATTTGTGGTGCACTAAAGAAGTGTTGAAATATATATTTGATGATATATTTTATTTCAACTAGATATTTGAAAGATAAATCAAGTTATTTGGGCTGGTTTCCTATCCTCGATTTAAATAATATTCAGAGTAAAACCAAATTCAAACCATAATTGAAGGTTTTGAGTTCTCGTTCACATTCAAGTCAATCCAGGTTCCAAATGGTTTCATTTATGAAATACTCGAAGTATGATGGGCATTTCCTGCTATTAAAATACTAAAACCTATTGATCGCTCTGATTTCTTCTGTCTGTAAGTTAATTATATATTTGAATTTTTACCGCTTTCAAAATAAGTGATCTTTTTTTTTTTTTTTTTTTTTCTTTTCAAAAAAAGGTTTTTTTTTTTCTCTTCCTTTTTTAGGAAAAAAAAAAAAAAAAAATGTATTTTCTTCTATCTTTAGGAATGACGACATCGAAAGAAGGGACAACTGCGCCTCGTTATTTCGAAAAACTTCAAAAGGATTGCTATTGATGCTTCCACATCTAAGCAGATCTTATATGCATCTGCATTAGATTTCAAGCATCTATTACAATACAAAATCAATTCAGAACCCAGCCCTGCCTCCTTTTTTACAACCACATCCCGCCGCCATCATTCTTCGTCGTCGCAGCCTCCGCTTTCCCCCACCATTCCCGCCTCTCCCTCTATCCCAAAACAAAACCAAGTGCAACCTATCGTTTAAAATGCCCAATTATCAACCATTTTAATTACCCAATCGCAATCATTATATCAAGTACATCGTAGGCATCCTACAATCTTCCATTTTGACAAAATGAATTGATAAATGTAGTGAATGTAGCAACATGGATTGGAAGCTATTTTCCAACATACAATACAAAATAGTTTTCACTTCATTGAATTCTGAAATGTTCTTAATCTGCCCTCTCTCTAGAATTTATCCACGCTTCATTTGTCTGAGAAGGTTTGGAAAAAATGGGGGTACCTTTTGGGATTTTAGTAGATGTAAGAAGTGGTGCAGAAATGAGAAAATTACCTTGTTGGGATCTGTTGCTAGTGTGGTGAAAGGTGCTGTGGCCGTGGTGGCGATCTCGAATGGGGATAATTGCAACGGGGGAATGTGTAGTGGCTATCCCAAATCGGGATAATTGCAGGACGAGGAAAGGTGTGGTGGCCACTGTGGCGGTCCCTAACGGGGATAATTTGCAGCGAGAAAGCTTTGGTAAAGCTTTGGAAGAAGGTATGGTGGCCGTGGCAGTGTGGTGGCCGCGGCTCTGATTTTTTGGTTTGGTGGCATGGGACTAGTGGGGGTGGAGGAGATGAATAGTTTTTTACTTTTACTTTTATTTTGTTTTTAGTTATTCTAATTATTTTATAGGATTTACCCTTTAAAATTGGTCAAAATTTAATTTTTGGTCAACTAACAGTTAAATAGATAATTCCCATTTGACCTTTGCTGTTAATTATCAAAGATTTAGGATTTTGCTGGCACAATTTGAAGATTGGAATAACGTTTACAAAAAAGTGAAATGTTAGAGACTGTTATTACAATTTTTCCTTTTTATCGTACGATATATCAATTATAGTTAGTAAACAGAAAAACATAATTATAGTGCATTACGAGTGATATCATATTTAAGTTGACGTCGAATAGAAGTGATTGATAAGAGCACAATACACTACAAAATTACTTCACATTTGACTGTATTAGGTTGTAAAGAGAAATTCAGGGTTGGATTGAAAAACCTTCTCACGTGGTGTGATTATAAGTCTCCAACTTATTTAATTTTGTAAATGTTGGCCCCACGTGATCGAAAACTATCCATGTGGACATTAAGAGCCTTTAAGGTAGTAATTATAAGAATTGACTTTTTAATTATTAGAGAGAAAATTTGGTACTTATGAGTGAAAAATTCAAAAGTAATGGTTGAAATAGTGAAATAACGGTTAAAATATTGATTTTTTAGAGTGAAAAATTGCTACCAAATGGGGACTAAAAATTTGGCCTCCAAATTTAAGTGAAAATCTTGTGTAACTTTATCATCCACATTGACAGTTGCAATCATTTAGAAACATTATCATAGACATAAAAATGTTGAGAGCCAAACCTCACTTTTAAAAGTTGAAATCAGACTACTAAAAAGGTTGGAAATCAAACTAAGAGCGTTTGGATTTCATTAATCTCCTTTTATGAAAATTGTAACGAGAGGAGTAATGAGTTACATGAAATGTGTCAATAATAAGATAATAATAATTGTGAATGTGTGATTCAGTTTTAACTTTGATAATTTATAAACTACTTATAAATATGTGATTAAAAAGAGTAGATGTATAGTACGTGTGATTAAAAATGAGGTTTGATTATTTTTAAATTGTTTATAATTTATCCAAACAAAGCATAAAATTAGTATTTAATTTCCATCGAAAACGTAAGTAACTTATCTAAACTCCTATTCGACAACCATCAAAACAAAACTCTTTTTTTTTTTGCAAATTTATTTTTAATCACAAATTTTTACACCTATCGTTTAAAATGCCCAATTATCAACCATTTTAATTACCCAATCGCAATCATTATATCAAGTACATCGTAGGCATCCTACAATCTTCCATTTTGACAAAATGAATTGATAAATGTAGTGAATGTAGCAACATGGATTGGAAGCTATTTTCCAACATACAATACAAAATAGTTTTCACTTCATTGAATTCTGAAATGTTCTTAATCTGCCCTCTCTCTAGAATTTATCCACGCTTCATTTGTCTGAGAAGGTTTGGAAAAAATGGGGGTACCTTTTGGGATTTTAGTAGATGTAAGAAGTGGTGCAGAAATGAGAAAATTACCTTGTTGGGATCTGTTGCTAGTGTGGTGAAAGGTGCTGTGGCCGTGGTGGCGATCTCGAATGGGGATAATTGCAACGGGGGAATGTGTAGTGGCTATCCCAAATCGGGATAATTGCAGGACGAGGAAAGGTGTGGTGGCCACTGTGGCGGTCCCAAAGCGGGATAATTTGCAGCGAGAAAGCTTTGGTCAAGGTTTGGAAGAAGGTATGGTGGT